ATTGTGTGTTGTTTTTTTTTTTTTTAAGTTTACTTTCAGCAAAGAGCACTATGAATAGGTTAAAAGAAATTTGCCTCCATCCCACAGCAAGGACTGGGTACGGACAACCCTGGATTATAGAAAGGTTTTCTATGGTTTGGGCTTGAACTCCCACTGTTTTGACCTTCTATGCTTTCCCCTTTTCTCTGCCTCTCACAGGACAAGTGGTTTCAGAATCCATTTCCTTGGAGCTCCCTGTGGATGTGGTTCCTGATTCAGCCAAGGCTTATGTTGCGGCTCTGGGTAAATAGCCAGAGATTCTTGCTCAAAAGGACAAAAAAAAAAAAAAAAAAAAAAAAAAAAAAAAAAAAAAAAAAAAAAAAGGGGCTGAAAGTTGCTGAAAGTGTGGAGTGGGTTGGGGCATGTGGACCTATCCGAGGGAAGATGTGTCAAATTAGAAGGGACAGAAGAAGAGCTTATTCTATGTAGTGGGCAAACACAGCCTCTAGATAACAGTACATGTGGGATTAGATGTCTATGGTAGTTAAAAACAGAAAGGAGCCTGGATAGGAAGAAGTTAAAGGTCAGGGAAGCTTCATATGCGTTTAGGTTCAGGTGGTCTATAAACTGAGTGGAGGAGAGACATAATGTTTGTAGCAACCTTTAAAAAAATGAGGAATTTATCTAGTTGAGTATAGCGTAGGGGAAATAACACCATATTTACAAAGACAGGACACTTCTCTGGGCAAGGAGAGGGATTGAGTAGAAAAGCATGAGGTTGAAAATCATATCAAACCAGGTTGCCACATGACCTTGAATAAGTAAACAATTCTGATCCTCCCCCGCCCTTCTGCAAGACTGTGATGATAACCCACCTCTCTGGATTGGTGTAAAAATTAAATATAAAGTTTCCACCACAATATCTAGCATATACTAGGAGCCCTGTGTATGTTAGATCATTTCTTTACTCTGATCCCCTACTAAGATCCTTTCCAGGATAAAATTTCTCTATTTTGACTGTAGTTGAGTCAGACCTCTAGTGTAGCACTCATTTTTATTGTAGGATGTAGCTCACTGTCTATGTCTGTCTTTCACGCTGCATTGTGGGCTCCTTGAGGACAAGGGTCACCCCCCCTTTTTTTTTTTTTTTTCAACGTTTATTTATTTTTGGGACAGAGAGAGACAGAGCATGAACGGGGGAGGGGCAGAGAGAGAGGGAGACACAGAATCGGAAACAGGCTCCAGGCTCTGAGCCATCAGCCCAGAGCCTGACGCGGGGCTCGAACTCACGGACTGCGAGATCGTGACCTGGCTGAAGTCAGACACTTAACCGACTGCGCCACCCAGGCACCCCTTTTTTTTTTTGAAAGAGAGAGAGAGAGAGAGCATGCAAGGGCAGAGAGAGAGGGAGAGAAAGAATCCCAAGTAGGCTTTGGCTGTCAGCATGGAACACGATGTGGGTGGGGCTCCATCTAATGAACTGTGAGATCATGACCTGAGCTGAAATCAAGAGTCGGACGTCTAATGGACTGAGCCACCCAGGCGCCCCACCTCTTTTTTTATTTGATTCTAGCACAGTTATTGCCACATAGTTGACATTCAGTATGTATTTATAGATTTGAATTGAACTTAATGGCTAAAAGTGCAGATGTTAATGGGTCACTTAGATCAGGCTTACGGGTGTATAAAATATATGGCTAGGTCAGTAGGTATAACTTGGAAAAGGGGATCAGGATTGTGTTCGCTTTGGCAGGAACATGGTGAGTTGGAGGACAATGCATTTATACGCAGGGGAGGAACTTAGAGATTGAGTCTAAGTATTGTAGGTTTTGTTATGTTACTCACCAGCCCGTGACGTGTCTTCTTACAACCCTCCACGCCCTTAGGTAACCCATGTACTTCTTCTCTGTGTGCTCCAGCACCTTGTGTGCACCCAAAATGATCGCACTATATTATAATTGTTTATAATGAATACTATTTGTAATGTTTTGTAATTGTTTGCCCCTCGGATTATGATCTTTTGAGATGAAGACTGTACTTGACTTACTGTCTCCCAGGCCACAGTGTAGGTACTCAACTAAATGATAGCTGATACGTGTTTGTTAAATGACTGACAATATGGGGCGCCTGGGTGGCTCAGTCGGTTGAGTGTCCGACTTTGGCTCAGGTCATGATCTTGCGGTCTGGAGTTCGAGCCCCGCGTCGGGCTCTGTGCTGACAGCTCGGAGCCTGGAGCCTGCTTCGGATTCTGTGTCTCCCTCTCTCTCTGCCCCTCCCCCACTCATGCTCTGTCTCTCTCTCTCTCTCTCTCTCTCTCTGTCAAAAATTAATAAACTGTAAAAAAAAAAAATTAAAAAAAATTAAATGAATGACGATAACTCAGAAGGCTTCTTTCTTCTCTCTACTGTCACTTTCTCTCTTCTTTTGGATCTCAGGAGACATTATGGGCACAGCCCTCCAGAACCTAGACAATCTGGTACAGATGCCAAGGGGCTGTGGGGAGCAGAACATGGTATTGTTTGCTCCCATAATCTACGTCTTGCAGTATCTGAAGAGGGCAAGGCTGCTGACTGAGGAAATCAGGTCTCGGGCAGTGGGTTTCCTGGAGCTCGGTGAGTTGGTTCAATTTTTCTTCTTGAACGCATTCTCTAGGGGCTATGATAGGCTAATAAGATATAGGGAGGTTCCCTCCAAAGTGGCCCACATCCCTGAAAGTCTTGAAAGCCATGTTTTTTTGAAGTCGGTCCTGTGATCTAACCCCGTATCTGGCTTCCCAGGGTACCAGAAGGAGCTACTGTACAAACACAGCAATGGCTCATACAGTGCCTTTGGGGAGCAGGATGAAGATGGAAACACCTGGTAATATTGCCCAATTCTCAGTGGATCCCAGAGCGTCATTTCTGGGCCTGTGGAACTATTCCTCTCTACCTCTTCCCTTAACCCCATTCCTTCTTACATCCGGCTTCTACTCCTTTAATACTGATTATTTCAGCCTCATGTAGGGTCAAGCCCCTCACCCTTCTCCTTGAGCTTGTGCCTCCCCCGTTCTTGTCCCCATTAATACCCATTAATACTTCCCTTTTCTAGGCTCCTATGGCATTATGTTTCCTCAATCCCCTTCTGGAACCATAGGCCAGAATAAATGACGGAACTGTTGCACCCTCACTGGGGAATCCCCCCCCTTCATGCCACATGTTTCTCTTTACCCACGTAGGTTGACAGCGTTTGTCACCAAATGCTTTGGCCAAGCTCAGGAATTCATCTTCATTGATGAGAAGAATATCCAGGATGCTCTCAAGTGGATGGCGGAAAACCAGCTCCCCAGCGGCTGCTATGCCAATGTGGGAAAGCTCTTACACACAGCTATGAAGGTGCACATCCTCCCCCGGGCTCTCAGCCCATCCCCGCATCTGGGAGGAGCCTGCACCTCTGACTGAGCAGAATCAAAAGGGCATAGGCCTGGGAGTCAGTGTTCTTCAGGTCTGAGCCCTGGCTCTGGGTGACCCCGGTCAATGTACTCAACCAGTCTGAGCCACAGCTTCCACGTCTGTAGAAAACGAGAACATGTACTAGCACAAGGCTCTCAACTTGTGGTCCTCAGATCAGCGGCGGCAGCAGCACCTGAGAACTTGTTAGAAATACAAATCCCAGTTCCTACCCCGCCTACTCTGAGAAACTCTGGAGGGCGTGGGCCAGAAATTTGTATTTCTAACAAGCCCTCGAGGTGATTCTGATATTCCCGAAGGCGTGAGCAAACCACCGGACTAGACGTTCGCTGCGTCTTTTGCTAGCTCCCTGAATCGGAAGCGAAGCCACTTTCTCTGGTGACGACCCCTAGGCAGTCCAGTGTTTTCTGTAAGAGGTTCACTCTGCGCCAGGCACTGTTCCAAGCACTTCGTTTATTTGATATTATTTAATGTTTACAGCCAATTAATCAGCTAGGTGCCGGTATACCACTATCACTCCCATTTTACAGATGAAGGTGCAGAGATTAAGTAAACCGCCCAAGGTGAATGGTAATGAGTGGTAGGACTCTGTTTTGAACCATAGCCGCTGGACTCCATTCACTACATTGCCGGTACCCCTCCCAAACACAGGCTGAGGTGTTGATGCTTCGGGAGAATTTGTTCAACTCGGAATATACCCAGTGAAGGAAAGATTTGTATGTGCGTTGCTAGGGAAATCATTTACGTTGCCATTCTGGGGCCTCCATTAAAACAGTTTGAGTATTAAACAAAAAAAAAGTCTCTGTGTAGGATTCACTAGTACATTCCTTATGCCAGATTTTTTTTTTTTTCAACGTTTATTTATTTTTGGGACAGAGAGAGACAGAGCATGAACGGGGGAGGGGCAGAGAGAGAGGGAGACACAGAATCGGAAACAGGCTCCAGGCTCTGAGCCATCAGCCCAGAGCCCGACGCGGGGCTCGAACTCCCGGACCGCGAGATCGTGACCTGGCTGAAGTCGGACGCTTAACCGACTGCGCCACCCAGGCGCCCCCCTTATGCCAGATTTCATCAGTGTCTCCAAATCTCTGTCCCCTTATACACTGAAATACACGTGGAAGTAGCACAAGCCAGGGCTTGACTTGAACAAGATGGCGGAGATGTTTCCTCTTCCTGCCCACCAGCCCCGGCCAGGCTCTTAAGAAACCCATCACCTGTCTACGTAGCAAGCTTTAGTGATTTGGTGCAGGAGCTCCATAATTAAACTCCCTGGGTTCAACTCCTGCTGCTTACTAGCTGTGTAATCTCCAGCAAGCCATTTAGCCTTTTAAGGGTTTATTTTCTTATCTCCCGAATGAGGATAGCAATTGTGATTAGCTGTTTTTAAAAACTTGCTCATATCTTTCCGTGAAAGGCATTAAACGGGGTGGGTGCCATCTAATCTCCCCCGTGGAGAAGAGGCTGGACCTTTTTTTTTTTTTTTTTTTTTTTTTTTTTTTTTTTTTTTTTTTTAATTTCTTTTCTTTATTTTGAGGCAGAGAGTGAGCACGAAGGGGAGGGGGTGGTGCAGAGAGAGGGGGAGAGAGAAAATCCCAAGCTGTCGGCCCAGACTTGGGGTTTGGTCCGTGAGCTCGTGATCTGAGCTGAAATCAAGAGTCAGACGCTAACCAACTGAGCCACCCAGGCGCCCCCGGGGCCTTCTGCTTCTTGAGAGGATATCTGTTTGAGGAGGCTCAGATTCAGGAAGAGCCCGAGAATAAGAGATTTTTGTCCATATCCCCTCCCCTGTGATTGTCTGTTTGCTTGTTTAAATAATCCACCCATTCAGAGGGGATACTTTTTTGCAATCTGCGCACGAGTCATACAACGCGCTGTGCTGCCTGTGGCCCTGACCTCGTCTCCCTGCATCCTCTAGGGTGGCGTTGATGATGAGACTTCCCTGACTGCATACATCACAGCCGCGTTGCTGGAGATGAGCAAAACCATACAGGTGCGTGTCTCTAGGGCCTCCTCTGTCTATCCTTCCTATTATGCCTACTTCTAGAGACATGCACCTACCGTTCACCCTTGTAGACTCAAAAAAGGATACGATGACTTCCTTATCACTTCCCGTTTTCAAAGGAATGCCTTATAAACTCAGTTCTTCATTGTACCTTTTAGGACCCGATGGTGAGTCGGGGCCTACGGTGCCTCAGGAATTCTGTTTCCTCCACTAACAGCCTCTACACACAGGCCCTACTAGCTTATACTTTCTCTCTGGCTGGGGAGATGGACATCAGAAACACTCTTCTTGAAAAGTTAGACCAGCAGGCTATCATCACAGGTATGTTGGCCATGTTAGGAGTGTTTTGTCGAAATTGTGGAAATGCGCTGTGAGTTATCTGTGATTGTTCCTAGTCCCCGTAGTCCCACATATATTCAGTCTTAGAGAGGATTCCTTTTAGCACAAGGTGTGAAGTCATTAGGTCACTGTTGAGGGTTTTATAAGAAAGCCCATGGAAGTCCTTAAAAGGCGTTGTTATATTTTTAACACGAAGAGAAAACAAACGGTGGGAGCTAGTCAAAGGACCCCTTGGTGTTGTAGAATCCCCCCTTTTGCCCGTCTTTGACAATTCTTTGCTATGAGTTCACTGAGGTTGACAGGATAAGAGAGACTTCTCAAGGTCCTTTAAAAACTTTATGGACATAACCTCTACACCCAATGTGGGGCTTGAACCCATGACCCCGAGATGAAGAGTCTCATGCTCTTCTGGTTGAGCCAACCAGGCACCCTAAAAACTTTTGGATGTATCTGGAATACTATTTGATGTTCTAACAAGCATTTTATTGATCTAGCTGTGGGGTTAAAATCAGACCTCCAGGTAAAAGCTTCATCTTGGTCTTCATTTGTATGAATGTCATTACTAAGTTGTCCTCTCCTGGGTTCTGGGTAGTTTTTTGACTGGTACATAAGCGACTCTAGTCATGAAATGAGTGTCTCAGACCGTGGGTTGCACATACCTGTTCCAGTGTATATTGATTTAATGAGATTATCTCTTCTCCATTATCTTGCATTGCCGGCTCACATGTTTTCTTTTATGTTTTTCCAATTAGATTGCCTCCTGTGGGCTATTTATTTATTATCTTTAAATGGATAATTAATTAAACTTCTAGATTTCACTCTTCTTTTTTTTAATTTAATTTTTTTTTCTAATTTACATCCAAATTAGTTAGCATATAGTGCAACAATGATTTCAGGAATAGATTTCTTAGTGCCCCTTACCCATTTAGCCCTTCCCCCCTCCCACAACCCCTCCCGTAA